CCGACCTTCATAGATTACGTTGGTTGGGACATGTGTTACGCATGTCGCCAAATAGGTTGCCACGGTGAGGGATGTTCGCCGAGGCAGGTAGTGGGTGAAATAAAGTCAAGGGTGGTCAAGCTAAGACCTGGAATGAGGGTATGAAAACAGTAACCGGGAGTCTGGGTCACATAGGTCCCGTTAGGCTCCCTGGCTGGGGACCCCGAGATCATGGTCACCGATGGTTAAAGACACTGAGTGATATGACTCGGTGTCGTCAACAGTGGCGTTCATGTATCTTCTCAATTTCTTTGCAACCTTAATCCACTAAAACTTTCCGTTTTATATTCCACGTTACTTTCAACCTTACTGTCTTACCCGTAATGCTCATCCAAAGGACAGCACCGGAACCCGGCGCACGAAAGTGCATGGTTAATGGTTGTACAAACTGTAACTGAAACTGACCCGCTAGGCAGAAAGGTGTTGTGTGAAAATGGCAATCGATTAGGAGCCGGTGTCCAGTTCACCGGATCATGCGCTATTTGGGCGGGGTCAAGCGTTCAAGGAGACCAATACACCTCAATGCCCAATTCAGACGGTGACCACTGCTATCACCGCCACAACCGGGAACGTGTACGCCTCGTACGCCTCCTCTTGGTTGGTTTGGTGTTTTGGCAAACTCCCCTAGGTGAACTACCAGTGCTCCACCAACCCGATGATAGCCCCGGATGTCGGCTATTCGTCCTCTTAGTTTGGTGGGAAAACACCGTCATGAAAAGGTAGCGAGTAGGGCTTACTGAGCAGAGGCTAATTGAGACGTTCGATCGAACGGGAGCATTTCGCGAGGTGCAAATGAAAGCTACGGTTAATCTTAGTTTCGACATCATAGCTTTGCTTCTGGTTTCAATCACTCAATTATCATCATCGTATATATATTCAGTTTTCAGTTTTTCAGTTTGAACAACCATTAACCATGCACTTTCGTGCGCCGGTTTTGGTTGCTGTCTTTTGGCTGCCCATTGGGATGAAGAATAGGAGAAGAAAGGAAAGTTGAAAGTGGAGTCGAAAGGAAAATGGTGAAGTTCAGTGGACTAAGGTTGGGAAGAAATTGAGGAGATGCACGAACGCCACTGTTTACGACACCCAGCCATATCGCTCAGTGTCTCTAACCATCGGTTACGATCATCCCGAGGTCCCCAGCCAGGGAGCCTAACAGGACCTATTTGACCCAGTTTCCTGGTTAGGGTTTTCATACCCTCGTGCCAGGTCCTAACTTGACCACCCTTGGCTTTTTTCCACTCAGTATATATATATATATATATATATATATATATATATATGCACTGTGTACCTAATTCACTATGGCCGAGGTGGTTTTTCAGAGGACATTTGGACCTGTCCTCATTCATCATTGTGCAGCGTAATACAGTGAAGCGAAATTCACCGATCGCTTTCAAATTCAGAATGCATACAACGTAAGTGAGAATGTGTAAGGAGGCTGGGGATTGGGCCTATTCTTAGGAACTTGAAAAGAAAGCGAACCTCTATGATCAACACACAGTATACAGTGCATACATACTATTTCACACATACTAGTTTTAAGACACTCAGACTACCCTCTCTGTCTTATTCGATACCCACAGCGCTTTTAACCTATTTCAATATCTCGAGCAAAGGCAAGTCACATATGAGGTTTATACTGTTCCACAGAATTAATAAAGAATCTACACCTAATCCGTAGCTAATTACATGTAATAACTATAGTACTAAAAGTTGCTGAATGACTGCAAGCTGGGATCGTTCTTCGTCCCGGTTTCCTTAACTAAAGAATTGCGATAACCTTGTCGTCTCCATCAAATCTTTAACCAAAGTTTGAACTATACGACAATAGGGCTGTACTCAGTGCGCCATTCTCCGTTCGGCGATGGGTGTCTCCGGTTGTCGCTGGTCACCTCTTGCACCTAGCGAGACGCTCTCATGCGACTAAGCGTCTCAAATAGTCTTTGCTGTGGAAGTCCTACTCTCACTACCTTCCTGTGGCGCAGCTGTTTTCTCACCAATGCCAGAGAACGGAAAACCAACATCTAGGGTTGTAACCGGGTTGGCTAACCCTTAGCAGTTCATCTACTGGAGTTGGCTAAAGACCCTGATTCTGAACCGATCAAGAATGTGNTTCAACCCTCCGCTTACGGAATTTTCGGACCCCAACCCGAAAGACCAGAGACACTTACTCTACCTAATTGCTCTGTGTATTTCTTTATTCCTCATCTCCACGTCATCTGCTGGCCTTCATGTGGCTTTATTTAATCTGCAATAGACACTGTAAATAAGGCGCGCGGTGGTAGGCGACCACCGGACATACACA